CTTAATATTCATCGTAACATGTAAGTAAATTAAAACATTAGTCGAAGCAATTTATTATTAATAATATTTACTTATTGGATAAATTAGTTAAGTAAACTTAATAAACAACCTGTGTTGAAAAATAAGAATTCACATAAAGTTAATTACAAAATATGGAAATTATAATTTATTTACCTACTAATGTATGATTATTGAATGGTAACAAATTATTTAATTCCACATCTATATTAAACAGAATCTTAAACAGAAAATGAAGGTGTCTATAGTATAATTAATTAATATAAATAAATATCTAATATGTAGGTTCATTATCTAAAAACCCAAATAGTTTATATTACAATATTTGAAAATGCATAATTTAAAAATGTTAAAAATACTAAAAAGAGTAAGTTTTAAAGTTTAGTAAAAAATATAGTAGGTAGGCACCTAATTAATTTTCAATAAAATAATTGATTAAGATATGTATGCTTGATAGTTAAATGAGTGACACTAAATAAAAATATACTTATCTATTTAGTTAAATTATTGTTTTTGAAATCATTAATAAAATTTAGTTTAGAATTTAGGTACTATGTTTACAGTAAAAAAAAAAAATTGTACTATCATTACCTACTTATTTAGATGAAAATATGTCATTGGTAAATAGTTTAGTCACAAAAGAGAATCTAGGAATGTATTTTATTTAAAAACTAAATATTTGATAAATTTAAAACTAATGGCTAAATTTACAAGCATGACATTAAACTTCATAGGCATGTAAAATAATTTGATAAATGTCAGCATTATTTTAAAAGTTCTACAGTATATATGTAAATAGGGAGTACCTAGGTTATCTAAATTTGTTTATACTTTTACAGTATAGCTATAGCAAGTCTACTGACATATACAGAATTATGGCCTATAGGTACCGTTTAAACAAAAATGAAATTATAAACTTTTATTTAAATTAAAATAAATAATAATTCTAATGATATAAACTGATAATAATGAAATAATATTCAAGTTACTATTCACGCAAAATATTAATTAATATTTTAGTCAATCAAACTTACAAAAACAGAACTGGGGAACTAAAAAATAAAAACCGATTGTATGTGTTATTACAAATAACATAGACGAGTGGAGAGAAAGAAACAATGTCAGGGATAATAGCGGCGAACGGGGGACTTTATGCAGTACAACTTTTCCGAGTCTAATTTAGGGTAAGAAAAATATTGAACGCCCATAAAATTTTTAACATACACACCACCGCATGAATCGTATTAGAAGCATGTAGTATCACAATATCATCATGATCATTTATTACCGTACAAAATACTGCAAAATGTTAAATCGGAATTGTCTGTAGTCTGGACGTTTAGGAAAACTTAGGTTCCGATCAACAAAACACCACACACACACACTTAGACGGTCGAGCGGATATCGTGACGACTACACGACGTCGGTTTAGGTACACACGTCGATTGTGCAGAAAATCATCGACAGAAACATGTCAGTCGCGCAATAATTCTGACAAGAGACACACAAACAAGCCCACACGACTGCACTAGAACGTGGTGACGTACGTAAGCGGAGTCGTCGAGAACAATACGGCGCGGGAGTGGAAGCGGTGGCGGTAGTGGCGGTGGCAGCGGCGGCGGCGGTATGCGCCGAGTACATTAGAAAATCTCGATGCGATTGACCCCGGGCTGGAGGAAAACAAAATAATGAGAATACTCATGGTGGGCAAAAAAAAACCAGCACCGGCCACCGACAGACTTCCCCATACACATAATAATAATATCACACAATCGTAGTAACTAGTTATTATCATTATTATTGTCGTACGTACCCAGTCAATAGCATAATAACGTACAACGCCATTGTTATCGGTCGGAGAGACCGGGGAAGTGTATGGAAAATAATGAAAACAGACCGGGCTAAACCACGATAATACCAGCAGTAGGCATGTGGCAGACGGAATACGCGTTATTATTATTATTATTATTATTATTATGGCAATGTTTTAATTGACGAGAGAAAATTATTTTGAAATAAGGTACTCTAGTCAACTCTCGTACGATATATTATATACCTAGTATATGAATTTTTTTTAGGTTAGGTTGTCATGCACACACACTCCTCCCTCCCCCCACAACAGGCCAAGACTGGGCGGAAACCAGTTGTGACAAAGGGTGCCCCACGGCTGCGGAATGTTGGGGGGGGGGATCGGATTTTCATGAAAACCCCCGAAAGGTCACGGTGACGTCACGTCGCACTAAAAACCGAAATTATAGTTGTGTTACTCACGGAACTGTCGACGAGGTGAGCGGCGGGGATGACGAAACCGATTGAGAAAAATTAAAACTCAAAAATATATTATATGCCTATCACGATAGGAATAATATACGTTTTATATATGACCGTACGTCAGCGACTTCTGTACTAATAATAATTTACATTATCATTATCACTACAGTACGAGATATTACATTATATTTCATTAATAATGCGCGTACATAACAATATGCGATATATATTATTATGATATATGCGTACTTCTGATAATTCTCCTTCGGAACCGGACGACCCGGACAAGTACATTTGGTGATCAGGTTCGTCGTACTCGTCGTCTTGGTATTCCGACTCGGAGACGGACTGCAATCTTTTGTCGATGCAATTGTTGTCCGAGGGCTGGACGGGCGTCGGGGGCGTGAACGAGGGGCCGGCTGACGACGGTGCAGCCGTGGCGTTTCCGCCGCTCGATGTCGTGGGTATTTGTTCCATGACGACGACGTTTATCCGGCTCCCTTTGGTGGAAGGCCGACGGTCGCCTTTTTTCTTTAATTTACCGATTTTTGCGCGGGCGGTCTCAGACACGGCACACGATACCGCAGACGGCGCACACTAGCTAACAACTAGTTACTACTCCAGCAATTACAACGACACGACTGCGACGCAGCGCACCAGTGCACCACGATGACCCGTGCGCGACCGCGATATCAATGATCCATCACGCGCAACACAGTCGCGGTGGTATCACGGGGTGCCCGATAATGAACAATAATGTGATATTATTTTTACGGCGACTGGGCCGCGGTCGAATATTGTAAGTGTAACGTCAGCGGCACGAGACACTCGCGGAATGAACGGTGTGGCCGGACGTGCGTGTGTACGGTCGTTTTGTCAAGGGGTTTACTGGCGATTATTCCGTGTCGGCGTTTTTTCGCGACGAATTATCAAAAACGAGTGCGGGATTGCGGAAAAATAGTTCGCCATGTCTACGACAGCGCCCCCCTCCTCGACCAGAAATTTACTACTACTGCTGTTTCTGCTGTTACTACTACTATAATACTATTACTACTACTACTACTACTACTAGTACTACTACTACTACTACTACTACTATTACTACTACTAGGTACTACTAATACTACTAGTTACTACTTCCACAGTAAGTTCCTCTGTACCAAAATACGTCGTTTTGTGTACACAGTGATAGCTCCATCTATCTGACATATATTATCATCGTCATTATGGAAGGAACTTGTTATAGGAAGTATTAATCTGTCCCTGCTGCTCATCCATCATTCACAAAATACCCCACTCGTTTTTCCTCCAAGAGTCAAGACGTATGGCTTATTTGCTTCCCAGAATTCGCTCATCTTCATTGATTCATTCAACAACTTACTGTGTTACTCCTTACTCATTCGACATTCCTGATTCTGTGTTCCTTAATCAGCCCCGTATCATTATTAATCTAGTCTATCTTAAATCTTATATTCTGTGCTTAAATCGTGGCCCGTATAATATTAATATGTTTCCATTAAAGCTTAACACATTTGTATTAATAATATTCTTTACTCATTAACAAATACCACCCACCAATTTTGAAACTCCGAGATTTAAAATGACTCATAATCACGAACTAAGATATATCTTAGTTTGTGCTCATATTCATTTATTATTCGTTTATTCTTCATTTCAACAATTCAAAGCACTAAAACGTATGACTGACCACTACCTAATTAATGCTTATACTGCTCTCACTCGATCAGTATTACTGAGTATAATGTATATTTCTCAAATACAGTACAGGTAAAAAAAATTCTTTTGTAGTTTTACCACAGAACCCTATAAAACAAGTATTCGGGTATTCCATGTCATGATCCGCCTCGATTGAACAAGAATATTATCGGCAAGTAAACTGGCGACAAAAAATCCAATTTATCTGACTCATCAGTTGTATGACAGTATCATTTTTCACAGAATGTCAATAATAATCACACTGTAGTATCATACAATCATTAATACATTTGACTTTGTAAGGTCAGAAATCAGTACCTGAAATTCTATCAATAATATGAATGATGCTTTATGTATATTATATTTTTGTTTTGTTACATAATTTTCATACAAAGTAAGTATGAACATTTATACTCTATAGACAAATAACTCACAAGACCCTTCTTAATCACAGAAATGAAAAAATTCGAATAAAAAAAATATTAATAAACCTAGAAAAATTGAATCAGTTATTACTTGTTAGTTATTACCTTTAATATTCAAAATATAATATTTTATCGGAACATAAATCGTAAACAGAACCCCTTAATAAATCAATGATTAAAGCGAAACTGAACACTTACCATATAAAATCAAAAAAATAGAAAAACCAATATTTTCGAATACTCATAATATGATTAAAGAATAGAACTATAATCATTTAGATTTTGGATTTCACATTTGCATACAAGATTTTACAAGATTCTTTCACAAGATTTACATACGAAATATTTATTAGACATCATTTAATATTTTCATAGGTGATCACTGACCAGAAATTAGTTATCAATAACACAACACTGTTTATTTATAAAGATCTTATTTTAACAAATAAAAAACCTGGCTCAATAAAATTCAAGTATACAAAAATAAAAATTTTAAAACAAAATTATTTCCCGTAAAAAAACTATAACAATATTAACATACTTTTTAAAAATCTACCAAATTATATTATGTACACCATAAACCATACATAATATTCCGTCCTCAACTAAATAACAAAAATTTAAAATTTAAAAACTTGTAATGGAACTGGCTTATATTTTTTTAATACTCTTTCAAGTGATTCACTTGATTTGAGACCAAACGTATCCAAACAATGTCGATCAATTAATCCAATAGATCCTCCAGAAACAGACTGAAGGAATTTCCAATATGATGGTCTTAGATTATGTGGTTCAAGTATAGCTGCATGAAATAAAATAGCTGTAGAAAAACAATGAAAGAATACATTTGCTTGTGGTAAATCAGGAAAGAGCCCATCACTAGAACCTTTAATATACATTATCTGAAAACAAAATATAGTTGAGTAATTAAATTATATGTATAGTGTTTAATTATTATGATTTTATAAAATAATACCTGTAATGTTTTCAACATAACATATAAAGCAATTGTGTTATTACGATACAAACAAAACGTGAGACTAGCCAATGATCCTGCAGGAATACATATGTATTTTGAATCCTTACCAAGTAATCTTCTCATTACACATGATACGATCTAAAATATAATAAAACAAATTAAAGAAAACAATTCCAATAATATCAATCTTATTATAAATATAGCTACTCTATAAATGGAAGAAAATCCTCCAAGAAATGCTCCTAAACTAAATGTGTCTGGCGACATCATTAGTTTTAAAATATAACTTGGTTTACGCAAAATTCGATTGGCTTGCAACAAGGACTTCAAACTTAATTGTAGCGTATAGCCAACTAAAAATAATCTTGTACCTGACTAAAATTTAAAAAAAAATAATATGTATAGTAAAACAGTAAATTTTAAGCACTAACTTTTTACTTACACTAAGAATATAATGTAAGCAACCATAAGCGTGTGGGCATACATCACTGGTCCAAATTGTTTTTAATTCACTATCTATAGTACAATAAGCTTGACGTATATCGGTTATTGCCTGTCGAATAGGATCTTGATTTGATTTCCCCAACTGGGGAGTTTGAGGAGATAACAATGGTTTAGTATAATCATTTTCTTCAGAAGGGCCAACAACAAACCTTTAAAATACATAAAATTAATTATGTATATTCCATATATTGATAAATTACATTAATTGTATTACTGCACTAGCATAATGTAGTAGTTTTACATAACAAACTGAAAATAACATTAGCTCTACTATAAATAAAAATTTAAGTAAGTCAGTTTGATTTCATATGATTTTATTTAACTATATTTGATATTTTATTCTATGTTATGAATATAATTAAAAAAGAAAAAAAATAGAGATATAAGTGATTCACAACCTTCATAAATAGTGTCACCCTTATTCGTGGGGTCTAACGCCGTCATCCTATCATCAAGATTACATATTGAGTTTTAACTTTTAAAATTTAAACCATAGACATTGGCACAACTAAAGGTAAAGAATATTAAAACATGGTACTTTATTGAATTACAATAACACAATAGAAATGTTATAGAGTATAGTATTATGTTATATATTATTATTTGGATTATTAATTATAAAATAAATTTAAAAGTGATTTCTTCTTTAAGTGACTTTTTAAGGTTTTTGTTTTAGTATTTAAATTTAACAAATAATGGTGCGCTGGGGTGGAAAAGAGCTCCTGCTGAGTCACAAAAAAATCTTGAAATCAAGCATCCCTTGTTCAAATGTATACTAGTGCCTACAGCCGTAGAATTCAATTTTAGAAGAAAAAATAATAAAAGTCAAAAATTAGTTTGAATTTTCACCCTGTTGGTTTTGAACAAACATGAACAATTCATATTGTCATCCACTACAGTACAGTGTTTTAACGAGTCACATATTTTTTTTTACTCGATATTCATGAGTGTACTAAATCTATAATTAAAAGCCAAGACATTATAAATTTGAAACTGAAAGAGCTCTTTAATAACTGAGTATATTAATCAACAAGAGTTAGAGAGGCAGTCATTAATAATATGTTGCTCTGATATTTAATTGCTGCCATGGGAATAAAATTGTATTATTTTTTTAAAATATTTTTTCATTCTAGGTCTATGTGACTCCAATATAGAACCACTGTTATATAGGCCTAAACCAGTCCAATTAATTTTAGTTATTCTCTACTTAGATTACCCAGAACTTAGAAGGAGTAACAAAAGTATTTTTTTGTCTTTTTAGCTTTATTAAACAATTTTAATCTTATATAGCACATTGGTAATCAAGTGAAGCCCAATATGAATAAGTGACAATATAATTTATTTATATTTTTTATATTTGTAACTGAATTATAACTCATGATAATTAAATATTTAATGTTAATAATTATATTATCATGTTATTTATATAGGAAATACCAACACAAATTATATAATGTTAATGTAAAATTCATTAATGAACACTCAATACTAAAATTGTTTATTGAGAGGATGTAGCACACTATTTGTTTCATCCCTCTGACCTATACGTAACATGGTAAATATTCATTCAGCAGAACCAATCTTGTGATGTTAGCTTTAGTATTAACGTGAATTGACCTATTATCAAAATTAATTTTATTATTATCTATGCTTGAACTTTGACTTTTTACAATATTTCAATTTTAAAGAGTTTCTAAATTGTAATATTTCAAATATTCATAACTTGCTTGAAAATGTTAACATTGGAACATACAAAGACAGATAATGTTCTGAACTTAAAGTTGATATTAGGTCAATCAATTTGCTCTAATAACCAACAGAAGGCTTGTTCTGTTGAATGCAAACTTACAATGTACGTCTATGACAGAGTAAAAAAACAAATAGTGCTGACATCCTCCTAATTATGCACATATTATAAACACTTCATAAATTAAAACTTTGGAAATTAGTATACACATGGTGCTTAACATTGGCCCAATCAACTTGATACTTTTAATTAGTAAATTCTTGTAGAGCACTTTATATTAGTATATTAAATCATTTTTAATTTCATAAATTAAAAAAAATTGTATTTACCTTAAAAGGGAATATATTGAATCTGTTTTATTATGTTGTCCTCTAAAAAAATAAAGCAGTAGTGTAATTGACGACCCAAAAATAAACAAATCTCCATAAGGAATCGGTTTTATAATGCCTCTATTAACCATCATATTATAGAATGTTTCTGAGGCCTTAAAATAGAATATTACTTTTGTATACATTTGGCTTCAACCAAATTATTATAATTTAAATAAAAATTTTAATCTAATATACATTTATTGTGTGATTAACTTAGGTATTCAACATAAAAATTATGATAATGACTTACAACATTTGTTACATAGAGACTTAGTAATCCTCGTCTGGATGGCCTTTCAATTAATATAGCAACAAGACTGGATAGAAAACATGGAAGAAATGCTACACTAAGCACATTGAATTTCCCAAATAATCTTCTGAAATTATAAAATAATACTATTAACAGAGAATAAACATTATATACTACTTCTTATATGTTTTATTTGAGACCAAAAATAATAAAAATGAGAAAAAAAATAGAACTATAGATTTCAGTCAAATTACAGCTAGGCTGACAGGAATCATTAAATTCACTGGACAACTGTACAATTTCCAAGGCTCCAAATATGTTATTACTTATACAAAATATCAAGTAAATGTACAATATTATAAAATGTATTTTATATATGATCATCATATTATTCATGAAAATGAGCTATCACACAGTTATTTAGTTTCTCACAGCAGCAATACCTTAGTAAGCACACAGCAGACGAAAAACCAAATGCATGGCACGATAGGAATGCGGTTGACTGTAAAATACTCAAAAGTGTTCGTTTAAGTTCTTTCTTGGTTGGCTTTCGACCTTTCATCAGTAAAGTTAACTGCCAAATAAAATAGTCAAATAACACATATGTAGTTTTAAAATTAATACATAGGCATATAAATTAAAAATACTACCATGTAAGTGGTAACGTAAATTCGAAACGAAGCTTGGATCGAATGAATGAGTACACCAGCACTTGCGTCGCAACATGAAGACACCCACGGATGCATAAATTCATGACAAGATGTATCTATTGTTTTTAATATTTTACTAGCCACCGCCATAATGTTGTATAAAGACACGAAAAATCAATTATAATATGACCGTGTGTGTGCTTGAAAACACGACGTCGACAGAGGTTCAAACCAACTTACAACTCGTGGAGATACATTATTTTAAATTATATATTTCAATGAAAAATATTTGTAAAAATTTAGTTGATAACAACTTGTAATATATTTAAACAGTTACTCACAAATCACTATTACAATACTAGTTGAAATGTATAATAACGATGTCATTACTATTTCATTCTGAATACACTGAATACTGATCGACTAATCTTTGACCTGGACATATTCTATATGTTGTTACGAATTACCTATGACTTATGATTCTCAAATATGAATTTTCTATAATATAGTTTCCAACTTTCACGAATTCTTATCTCCGTAGCTCTTATCTATGTCATACATGATAATACTGTGATAGTATTTTGATGACAATTTTTACCACTATGACGATTAATGATATTCGTGAGGAACTAATATAAAAATACAACATTTTCAAGAAGAAAAATTCGATACGTATCGATACGGAATAGTTACGTACCACCTCGTATCGTAGTCCGAGTCCGATACGGGTCGGCACGTATCGCTTGTATGCTGCACGTGTAACATCTTGAACGCTCAAAATTCACCCGATACGTACCGATACACTCCAAATTCTTTCTTGCAAATCTTGATACTATTTGACTCCCGGTTTAAAAATACATTTTATCTTAACACAGGAGTAACTAATCATAGAAAGATGAAAACTATAAAAAAATTAATTAAAAGTCGATCGGTTCGTATCACCTAACTTCAACTCATTCAAAATATATTGTACTTTCATTCTTGTTAATTCATAGTCATAACTCATAACTCCCTAAAAGTATAATACATCAAAGATTAAATGGTACATCATTGTCTATTTTTCCCTTTCTTTCTATTTCTTTTCTTCTATTTTTGTATACGAACGATTGTTATAATTAAAATGTATGTAATTGGGCATGGCCCGTTAAAAATTTTAAATAAATAAATAAATATTGGGTATATCAATAGAAAATAATAACCAATCACAAACCAAAAATTCTACATTTAATAAAAATTGTTCTTGGATATTTCTATGATTTATGATAACCTACCTATCTATCATCTAATATTTCATAAAGCAACAAAATTATAAATAAATGAATATTGTTAATACACAATTAGAACTTTAACTTAATTTTAACTAATCTGCATAGTTAAATAAGTTAAAAATGTTACTTATTAAGTAAGTATTCTTCTAAAAAAATGTAAACTATTTTGGTTTAAGAGGAAAAATACATGAATTGTATACAATGATAACATGCTGGTTTTAAACATTTAAAAAAGGCATTTAAAGTAATCGAGTATTCAATTTTAAACATAAAAATGTGAAGGGAGACATGGGCGCCCGCAGGCAAATTCATTTTGAGAATCAAAAAAGAAAAATGTATAAAAATCAAATAGACTTCAATTTTAAAAAAAAAAATAGTAAGCGGGGCATGGGCGCGCCAGCATGCAAATGCTTTTTGAGAATCAAAAAAATAAAAATATGAAAATATGTGCATTCAAACCAAACATTAAAGACTGCAGTCTACAATATCAGAATATTTCTAAGCCCATTGCGTTATTTACAATAATTATATCATGAGAAAATAAATATTTCAAGCAACCATCTGGTTATTAAAATTTGAAAAATTTGAATAAAAAGTTGAACTAGCGTTAAGTTATAGAAAACAAAATTTGAAGGGGGGCATAGGAGCCCGTAGGCAAATGCATTTTGAGAATCAAAAAAGAAAAATAGATAAAAAAAATCAAATAGGTTTCAAATCTAAAAATAAAATTGGGAAGGGGGACCTGAGCGCCCGCAGGCAAATGCGTTTTGAGAATCAAAAAAGAAAAATATATAAAAGTCAAATAGGCTTCAATTTTTAAAAAAAAAATGATAAAGGGGGCATGGGCGCCTGCATGCAAATGCATTTTGAGAATCAAAAAAAATTAAAAATATGAAAATATGTGCAATAAAAACAAACATTAAAGACTGCAGTCTATAATATCAGTATTCCTAAACTCATATCGTTATTTACAATAAGTATATCATGAAAGAATGAGTATTTTTAGGAACCAGCTGGTTATCAAAACTTAAAAAATGTTAACAAAAAATTTAAATAGAATTAAATTATAGAAAAAAAATGGGAAGGGGGACATGGGCGCCCGAGGGCAAATGCGTTTATAGAATCAAAAAAATAAAAATATAAAAATATGTGCATTAAAAACAAACATTAAAGACTACAGTGTAAAATTACCAAATATTAAATCAAAAATGCCATTCAAATTAATTTATTACTTAAACAATGATTATTTAGATTAACCAGCTGGTTATAAAAATTTTAAAAATGTATATTAAAAGTGGAATTAGAGTTAAATTGCAAAACAAAACTGAAGACGCACATAGGTGCGCACTCGCAAATGAATGTTATTAATAAACAAAAATATAAAAAAATGCAGATATAATTTAATTTAAAAAATAAAAATGGGAAGGAGCGCTTGGTCGCCCGCGGGAAAATGCGTTTTGAGAATCAAAAAAAAAAAAAATGAAAAAAGTTGCATTAAAACAAACATTAAAGACTGCAGTCCATAATATCTGTATGCCTAAACTCATAGCTTTATTTACAATAACTATATCATGAGAAAATGAATATTTTAAGGAACCAGCTGGTTATCAGAACTTAAAAAATGTTAATAAAAAATGTAAATAGAATTAAATTAAAGAAAAAAAAATTGAAGGGGGACATGGGCGCCCGCAGGCAAATGCGTTTTGAGAATCAGAAAAATAAAAAAATATGAAAATATATTCATTAAAAACAAACATTAAAGACTGCAGTCCATAATATCAGTATGCCTAAACTCATAGCTTTATTTACAATAATTAAATACTGGTTTAGAAAATTTAAAAATGGTATTTATGTCATAGAGAATTAAATTTTAAAAATAAAAATGGGAAGGGGGACATGGACGCCCGAAGGCAAATGCATTTTGAGAATCAAAAAAGGAAAATATATAAAATCAATGAGTATTCATTTTTACACCTAAAAATGGGAAGGGGGACATGGGCGCCCGCAGGAAAATGCATTTTGAGAATCAAAAAAGGAAAATATATAAAAAAAAATCAATTAGTATTCAATTTTAAAAATAAAAATGGGAAGGGGG